ATAAACTCATCCAATATTGGTGTTCTGTATTTTCCCCATTACCAGCCTCGCTTTGATACCACCTTGAAGTAAAAAACCGATGAAACGTCAAAAAAAACGACAAAATGTCAACTTGCTGTCTAGGTAGTTCCTAGTATGCAAATAGCACATTCCGCGATAGCTCGCTATGAGCGCTGCGAGCGTCATATAAAGCGTCCACCAATGGAGAAATACCTAACTCAACGACACGACGCGCTCAATGACCACGCTGCAAGCTGCAAGTCAGTGAAGAGAGCGTATGTTCAAAGTTATACATGATTATCCCCGTTTTTTGCCTTTTCAAAAACTTTGTTTTCGTTTCACGGCATCTCGCCAGACTTTACTTCACGATTGGGCATACCCAACTTCTGTCAAACCTTGTTCTTATACATTTTTAGGCTTCAGATCAATCCGTGACGCGTGATCAAAAAATTACAAAAGCCTAAGAGTATGTGGATGCCGAACTACAATTTCGATTGTTTTTCGAATTCTGTTTATGAAATCCTGAATTTCGGATATAGTTAGCCTACTAGATAACCATTTCGAAAAATCATACTTGTATGTTTTATAAATGGGGTCTCCCAAGTCAATCCACTTAGCTCATTTTTCTTCAATTATGCGTCTAGAAGATAAAATACTTTATTCTAATATCATTAATCTTGTGCCTCAGCGGAATGCGTGGGATGAGTAAGTACAATAATTAACGAAACTTCAGTGGAATTATAAGCGCGTCTTCAATTACGGTGGAGTGATTATAAGTGAATCCTGAAGGTCTTACAGGTCAGGCGTTGAAACGCGATTACTTGATTTATCCAGGGACCCCGTTAATTACAGCTCTAAAGTAGGCTTACTCGTACTACGCTGTCCTCTCAGCTAAACTAAATTAAGTAAGCCCTGTGACGTTTAAGATATGCGAGAAGCACGACCTGAAAAATATTAATATAACTCCATGTTATATGCATTCACAACAATGGACTTACTATTCCATACAATGTTGCATCAGACGCTAGCTCAGCAACAGATAACGACTTCTCGCTAACTCGTTGCTTATGCTTTGTTTTCTAGAAGTGCTTTGTAAGCACACCAATAGTATAAATAGGCCTTGCGCCCATGTCATGTTGTTCAATACCCGGCTAGGCACCGTAACAGTCACTTATGTAAACTTCGTGTTCAATTGTAAACGTTTGTAACGGACAGTAGTTACTGTCCTCAAATAATTTGTTTAAAAAGTAAGTGGGATAGCTTCAACGCATTAGAACACGCGAACGCTCACTAGTGTGGTGGATGTCTATCCTTCGAGCTACAAAGGACCACGAGCCTACAAGTAACAAGAAGAAATAAGAAAGAAAACGACTAAGAAGAAGAAGCAAAAGAAGAAAGAAAAGGGCACAGCGAGCAGCAGCCACCCAACTGCAGAGAGTCTACTTGGACACATCGAAAGAGATTCGAGAGCCTCCTCTAGAGAACACGACTGCCTCCTGATCTACCACCGGTAATATACAATTGAATCTACTATCGTTTGCAATTATCTCTGTATTTTTCTATTTTTGCGCATTTATTGAGTGATTTTCATATTTTGCGCAATACTTTCTATTTTACGACCTTTTACGTATTTTCTACAACTATTACGTGTTTCCCATATTTATTCGTATATTTTGCGTACTATTGTCGAACCTTCCTGAAACATATTTCCAATCACCATGTCAGAGCACGGATCAGACGATTACACAGCACCTGAAGTTCTTGATAACGCTCATGCAAACATCGAGCCTTATAGACTGTCGGAAATATTTTCAATTGTCCCTGAATAGGATGGCAACCCGATACTGCTTTCGACTTTTATCAACGCGTGTAGAACGGCGCACCAAATGGCTGTCCAGGAACAGCGTCTCCTCGTCGTCCTAGATATAAAAAACAAACTGCGCGGACGAGCAGCCGAACTCGTCAATTCCCGTAATCCTTTGACATGGGAAGACATACTCTCACTCCTTGAAACACATTTCGGAGATCTTTAAGATCTCACATCCTTAATTGCTGATCTGCAGCACATGCGCCAACTACCAAACGAATCCCCACTAACTTCAAGACTTCAAACTCATGCGGCGAAGATACATTCAGCCGTCAATCGACAAAACATGAAACGAGAGCAGAAAGCTGCTCAAAGTTCATTAATAGAGATTGTGACTCTGAACTGTCTCCTTACAGGACTAGACTCCAAAATTAGCCCGATTGTAAGATCAGGTCACCCAACAGATATCCTTACTGTGGTCGCTTTTATCAAGCGCGAACTGCAGTTATCATATCTTGAGAGACAAAAATTTTCTAGAGCTCCTAACTCTAATCAAAATTCTTCCATTAAGAAACCAGGTCCGAGAGTGTGCAATTTCTGCCACCGACCATGTCATTTAGCAAGTTAGTACCAGCGAAGACAACAACTCTCACATAATATTCCGACGACACAACTAGCGCATCGCGAATGAAACGCGGCCTAATTAATGCCATAGGTACAATTTGGAAAGCAATAACAGGTAACCTCGATTCATCTGATGGTGAATATTATAACGATTGCATTAACAAAATTTCCAAAGACGAACATGAGCTTGAAAACCTTATGAAAAATCTAATCTCCGTAACCATGTCGGTTATTAAGAACTTCAATAATACTATTCAGAAACTGCAAATTGACGAAGCTACTTTTAACGAAGACATAAAGGTTATTCAAAATAGAATTTATGAAATTTCAGATGATCTTGCCTTTTATGAAGCTAGATTTCAATTTTTGGAACTTTGCGAACAACCAATAGAAGGTTATATGTTTCTAGAAGAGACAATTAACGATATTCTCAATTCCATTACTTTTGCACGTTTGAAAACTATGCGAATCATAACCATAAACAATTTAACTTAAAAAAATACAGTGACATCATTGGTAATTAGAAATTGTTATCAAAAACTAGTATTTCCTCCCCGGGCTTGAATAACAGCTCTCATCCTCTCTGACGTAGACTCGATTAAACCAGCTATTGTGTATTGGGGTATTTGCTCCCACTAGTTCATCAGCGCCTGTTCCAACAGAGCCACAGTTTGAAATTCTCCATAGTTCTGCCTAAGCCTTCTTCCTAATGTATCCCACATGTGCACAATGGGGTTGAGATCCGGACTCCCTGGCGGCCAGTCTAGTTCTTGAATTCCAACATCGTGGAGGTATTGCCTAGACATTCTGGCTATATGCGGCCGAGCATTATCTTGGATTAGGAGAAAATTTTCTCCTATAAAGAGCACATGAGGAAGCACATGTTCTTCCAAACATTCTCTAATCTATCAGTCGGCAGTAAGGTGTCCTCCTCGTAGCGAAACAAGATCTGTGCGAGATCCCAAAGAAATACCGCCCATACCATCACTCCTCCACCACCAAATTGTGCTCAAGGAGCGAAAAAACTTTGAGCATAGCATTCTCCATGCCCTCTCCACACTATTTGGCGACCATTAGGTGAACATCTCGTAAAACGAGACTCGTCTGTAAAAAGTACGTTTTCCCAGTCGTCCATAACCCAATCTGCATCAATTCGTGAAAATACTAAGCGCTGCCTTCGATGACCTACATCCAATAGAGGATCTGTAGCAGATACACGAGATAATACGTTTTCTTCTTTCAGCCTTCGCGGTACGGTATCAGGTGAAAGTATGGTACCATGAACATCATCCAATCGTCGAGTCAAAGCTGTAGCAGGAACTGTCCTTTTTCGAAGAGCTTGCAGTCTCAGAAACCGATCTTCAACTGCGTTTGTTGCTTTCGGTCTTCCTTGCCCAGGTCTTCTTGAGTAAGAACCAGTTTCTCTAAATCTTTGTATCGTATCGAATACCGTACTGCGTGGAACGGCAAGCCTTTCTGCGATATACCGAATAGGACGACCATCATCTTGTAAAGCTACAGCTTGCGCTACTTGTCCCGGTGTCATTTTTATTAAGTATTGCTTCACAAGAATTTTTCTGAAATGTCATAAAAATCCTAACAGACATAGTCTACTTGAAACAGTTTCTAACCCGGCAAAGTCTGCTTGAAACAATGGCTATGATTCACATGATTTTCTTCAAAACAGCATAATATGCTAATAAATAATATAATATTATTTTATTCCTCAATAATTGAGATATTGACATGAATCAAAAAAGAACTGTTGGGAAAAGCTCAGGCTTAAAATTCTCATACAAAGACACATTATTCATTAATCCAATGTTTCCACAGGGTGTTCAGAAATTTAGGCCAAAATGCACCTTTTAGTTTCACCCTGTATATCAACAAAGATTTTCAATTTTATTGCAAGGTCGACAGTCGATAATGATGACACCTACAAGTTGACGAAAAGATTAATGAAATTGATGCAGTTATTTTATATTTAATTTGAACAACAATTTTTTGTCCGGTTAATTTTGCGTGGCAGTGTATATTAAATAAGCCCTGTGACGTTTAAGATATAAGAGAAATATTGCCTGAAAAATATTAACATATCTCTATTACACTCTTTGTCTAACAGTTCGTTATGAGTTTGTACAAACGTGGTGGAAGAGAGTTGGAGACTGGGTCTCAGTATGTTATACTTCAGAATTCTTATTTTAGCTAAACTAAATTAAATAAGCACTGTGAAATTTGAGATATGCGGGAAAATTCTGCCCGAAAGATATTAACAGAGCTCCATAGAATTCTTTATCTAACAGTTTGTTATGAGTGTGTACAAGGGTTGTGGATGAGAGCTAAGGACTGGGCCTTAGTATGCTATACTCCAAAATGACTTACTACGTTGTTCTCTTACCTAAACTAAACCAAATAGGTCATATAACATTTAAGATAGGTATTCAAGAAATACAGTTCGAGAAATATTGGCATTGCCCCATGCCACTCTTTGTGTAACAGTTCGTTATGAGTTTATAAGTGTCGTGAACCTTTCGGTAGACCATTAGGTCTGTCACATCATCTACCATACCTCTTCGAGCATTTTCTTGCCCGTATTCTGGCTGTAGTGGTTGATCCCCAGCTTCTATTCTGACACTAGGCAGTAGAGCTGGAGGTTCACTTCTTCCTTTGGCATTTTCAGCATACACTGCAAAGCGATACTCTCTGTAGGGCTCCAGGTTCGGCAACCGGAAGACAGGACGCTCTCCTAGAACTCGGTACATTGGCGGTGGAAGCTCTCCTGGAAAGTGGCAAATGACATGAGCTTAGAAGAATATAAATGAAATACTAAAGTGTATTCTAATCTCATTTACGTCTTGTCAAAAGAAACACAGGCTGGCGGCGTTCAATTTCGTGAGTTCCTATTGGCCAGGGGGCCACAAATGTACGGGAAGGCAGCGACAAGCCAATTAAAGCGTCGATGGAGTGCTTATATCAATTTTGACTATAAGAAAATAAGGTTCGAATTAGCTATAGAATGTTTGCCAAGGCGAATCCTAAATTAATTAAGCCCAGGTGCCGCGAGCACTATAAAGAAGTTGAAGAAATTTATTAGTCCGATCTTTGGACTAAAGTTGATAAAACTGGCAGATTATTTCACTCCCCGGTATCTCAGACACAAACGCACAGACCTGGAGCTTTAAAGTTAGTAATTTCTTTTACAGAGCATATGGGACATGCAACAATAAGCAACCTTTCTTTGTAACTCATACGTGAAAGGCTTAAGCATCCGCCACACCGCCGCAGTAGGGCGATCGCGATAGTCGCACCGCTATCCATGCGGTGCTCAGTTTTCATAGCGGTAAATAATCACACCAGCGCGGTAGGGTGGTCCGCGGTTTATCGCCTTAACAGCGTTTCGTATCGCATATCACCACGTTTTTTGCGATGTCCACAACGAGTAAAATTAGTTGAACAATTTATGAAGTATATATAATGTACAATTTAATTCACTGAAACTATAAAAATTGCAGGAAAAACCTTTTCCTTAAACTCAGTTATTAATTATCATTACTAACTAATGATTATCATCAAAATACTTACCTTTTTGGCCTTTTATCTTCTGATCAGGCCAATAATAATAATAATAATAGTTCTTCATTAGAAAACGTATTGTATAAGAAATCAAAAAAACGTTTTAGAATATTGCGCAGATAAGAAAACTGCCGTACCTTGGTGAACGTGGAGCTATTTAGGATTTTTAACGCTGACGCTACCGCTATCGCTGTATCGCATCGGTGTGGGGCAACCTTTATGATAACCGAGATAATAAAAAATGAGGTGGGTCCGCGAGACATGCATCCAACGTAAAGAGGTTCAGTATTTGAATCAGGCGCAGCCTCGGGCTTACAAAGACCGAGATTGGTAAGCAGCATGTACTTCACAAGCATTCACTTATGCCTTTTTTTAAATGTTCCATGAGTCAAGATAAGCTTTGCTAAAGAAACAAAATGTTTGAGCTCAATAATCTTTTTGAATATGCCCTAACCTGCAGCAATCAGAAACGTTAAAAAGTTTAGGAATTTTAGAAATTGTAACCTCTGCAAAAGATGTTTGATTACCCTTAAAACCGTTTAGAAAGTTGTAAGGCATACAAAAACAAAGTTTGGGACGATCTGAAAGCTATTTTAATGCTTACTCATAACACTGCTGCCATTTAAACGATTTTCAAAAATGGAGCATTGCCTACTATGACCTCACATGGATTTACGTGTGGTAAACATTACAAAAAAAAAAATTCACTTGAGTTTCTAAAATTTTCATATTCACATTATACACCCACCCCGAAGAGTTTTGCTAGCCCTCGCTTTTCAAAAAGGTCCGAGGTTAAGTGCACTTTTACAGAAAGTTATCTCTTGCCGTTGATTTACCCCCTTAGACAGAAAAATTCCAGCGGGCGCACATGGTCGATGCTGACTGTCTAATCTACGGCACTGAGCTACAGAGCAAAACATCTTGAAATAAAACACGACGTGGAAATTCCGTGCCACGTACAAACACAAACTTTGCATCGATTTTTAAATTACCTAACTTTCTCTAAACATTGTTATTCCACTGCCAAATACGTCTACTTCGAGGCGAACAAAAACGGCCGCTAGTTTGAATAATGTTAGACTTTCCGCAAGTTCTCTGTTTAAGAAGTTGAAATAACTCGCTGGCCTTCGAAGATATCCGATTATACTTGGTGCATCACGGTGCACTTAAGGAAGGAACATGACAAAAATTCGTATATTGTGGAATACTACATAGAGTTGAAATGCCATAGTATTGCTGAGTTGATACCCGTTAATCATCTAAAGACTAGTGACTGCAACGCGCAACATGTGCCGCAACATTCGCACTATCGCATGGCATAACTTGCTCCGCAGGCATTTCAGTTTGCAACATGTTGCCGGTACTAATGTACGGGAAAATGCATATATCAAAGCAAATATCTCGTGCACATATTTGACAATATTTTCCACACCTTCTGACAGTCTGCGGTGTATAGTTGGCCATCTGTGTTTTCATTTAAACAAGTTGCAAGCACATGGCACGTGTGCCTCCAACTTGTTAAACTGTAAAGGTGCGTACATTCATGCAAATCGCAAAAAGGGTTTAAGCTATAATGTATTTTCTTGTTTAGGTGCTTTTTGAGGTACTCTGTGTCAGGCCACCCTATACAGGGTGTTAGGAAAATGATATTCGTAACTTTAAGAGGTGATTCCTTGAATTATTCTGAACAAAAAAGTTCATTATAACTTATGTCGTTTTCGAGGAAAGTGAGCGTGAATAATTAAATTTTCTCAAACATTTGACATCGCTTCAACGCAACCGCGATACGAGCGCACAACGATCGCAACTGATACATCGAATTGTTTACGTTTGTATGATATGTTTGTTAAAATATGCCTTGAGTTACTGAATACTATTACGAAATTTTTTGTGGCTAATGTTTTTTTTAATAACGCTTTCAGTACAGTACATTTACTTTAAAAGAATGACAGAACTTACCGGCACGTGGCGATACACACCACAATTCCCACGATTATCGGTCACTTATTTGACACGATGCGATGCATGAAAACAGAAAACAACCCACATCCGTAAATCACATAAAGTTACAGTTAAATGTATTAATAATCATAATAGATATTCAAAATGAGAACCATGAGCATCTACGCAAGCTTGACACCGTCGAACCTAATTTTCTCTAACTCATTGAAAAATTCCAGGCATATTACGTGTTTCATTAGCGGCGGCCAAAATACGCTCCATTAAATCATTCTCATCCCTTATTTCAGAGGCGTAGGGGAGACCGGGTACAAAAGTAACACTTTGTACCTTTACCTTGATTTCTGGCTGGGTGTTAATGTTGTCATTAAGTTAATATAACCATATATGAATTCAGTTTATGTTCTTTAGACTAGTAACTCGATTTATTATATTATGCTGTGTTTTATAGGAATAATAGAAATTAAAAAAAAAGCCTTAGTTGTTACTTTGGACCACATAGGCAGGTCGAAAGTAACACGACATAGGGGTTGGTAATGAATACAATATGATACATGGCATGCTAACAAATTATTTATTTCAAAATTTTGTATTGATAACACAAATAAACTTCTGTATTTTAAATTACAAAAATTATATATTTTAAGAGAACAAATCAAACAAAAATATTTTTAATTTAAGTAATGAGATCAATAGTAATCATTCTTTTATAATCAGACTTTTATAATTCAGTCATTATTATCCTACTCGGAATCGCAATTATGGCACACATAATTGTTATCATCATCCACGCATTCCACATGGGACCACATTTTACATTCGATACATTGTATCAATTGTTCATTTGGTCGACTATTGCCAAAAGTTTCTAAACAGACAAGACAGAAGCAATCTTCGTCGTCAGGCCTATCTTCCTTTTCTTTTGGTGCCTTCTTTGTCTTCTTTCCTTTTCCCTTTTCTTTTGTAGGTATCAATTTTCTCTTACCTTCTCCAGTACTGGTTTTCTTTCGTTGTTGGTGCTATTTTTCAATTAAATTTTTTTCGGGAGTGTCCGTGAGAATGGCAGTTTTACGTTTTTTACGACCTTTGTTTCAGCCCTCGGATCCGCTTGCGGTAAAGGTCTAAGATCTTTAGGTGAGAAACTAAACGTCTGGGCAGAATTTGCTTGTTGCAGCTCGCTACGTCCTGGCACTGGTTTTTTGGATCTTTGATCAAAAATTGAGTTAGCTGACAGAAGATCAGTGCCAGCAGAGACAAGGTCCGGTATATTTTGAACAGCTGGTGATTGGTCATTATTGCTTGATTTGTTTGATAAATCATTGCTATCTGTACAGTGAACATTCCGGTCAACTGATGTTGGAAGATCACCAACTGGAGTACTTGGATCAACTTGAATGGATGACGTTGCGTCAGAACTAATCAACATATCATTTGGTGAAACTTCTCTGTTAACTTGTAACGGCCGGTCAGTCACAGATGATGGCGCGTAGTCATCAGCAGTAAATATATTCCTATTAAATGGACTTATACCGGTACAGGAAAATGCAGCAATTGCATTTTTATCAGTTACAGAAAGAGGAAGTGCTTCTTTAACAATACCTGGACTGTGTAATGAATATTCATCGTTCGACCAGGATGATTTCGCATCCAGTTGTCTGTAGCGGTGTTTATCATTTTCTTAAATGGCCCAAATACTGCTCTATCCAAAGGCTGAAGCTTGTGGGTGCAATGGGGCGGAAGCGATAGCAGTACTATTCCATTTTCTTTACAAAAGTCTATAGCTTGAATAGATATATGTGATGCATGGTTGTCGAGCAGTAACACACATTTTTGATCAGCTGTGGGCTTGACTTGTCTTTTAAAATGTTGTAGAAACAGTAAAAATTCTGCATCCTGCATCCATCCGCTAGCATTGCCAGCTCCAGCACAACCAACAGGACCCTCACGTATCATAAATATGGTCTTGGAACCGTTTCAGCGGGAATACGAAAAAAGGCGGGATGTGTCCTCCTTGAGCATTAATGGTAACAGCAACAGTTACTAGTCTTCCGCGCTCGGCAGAGGTTACTGCACCTACTTGCTTAGTTCCTTTTTGAGCTACAATTTTGCTAGGTTTTTGGACAGTGGTTACCCCTGTCTCGTCCATATTCCAGATATCTTTTGGCTCAAATTGGTACCTATCCATTACTTCAGCAAGGTTATCAAAAAATTTACTCGCATTATGCTCGTTAAAACTTGAAGCCCGTGACAGACTCGTTGCTTGAGGAGATCTTAAAGACAAGCTCGGGTGTCGTTTTAAAAAACGCGTCAACCATTCCTTACCCGCTATTCGACTATCGTGCCCCTTTTCAGGAAATGTTTTTCCATTTTTAATCGCTAACTCGTATGCCAGTTTACGTACTTCAGATGGAGATAATCCAAAATAAACTGCAGAGCAATCGATTGAATAGTCGTGTAGATTACTTTCCTCGTTATTAGTAAAAACTCGGTTGACGCAACTGTAGCCCACAACTGCGTTAGTATTTCCTACTTTTACTTTTTTATATATCTATATAATATTACATGGCAAACATTATACTTTCTTGCCAGGCCTCTAATTTTTGCACCATCTTTGAAATGCTCTTCAGCCGCTTTTCGATACACTTCTGTGTCGGTAGTTTCTCGTTCAGTAGTCCTTATGCATTGTCGCGGCATTCTGTTGAAGTAAGTAAAATAAAAAAAAGTACGTAATATGTAAGAAAAGTATGATTGATAATTAAACATTATACGGGGACAAAAGTAACATGTTACTTTTGTCCCCCTGTACCCACAGGGCTATGTTACTTTTATACCCGTCCACATTTTTGCCAAAATGAGCAAAATAACCTTGAAACGGAACGTGCTACTCAAAAATGAATTTAAGCAATGTACGAGTACAATCACTCTAATCAAGAATAGATATCCAAACATTCAGATTACTATCATCCTTTTAAGACTACGTAAATATGAAATAAGAAAACGTCTAAAAACTTACTTTTGAAATGTGAAAACACGTATCGTCTTGTCACACAGCCTAACAGCGCGTGGCGCATGCGGCGACTGAATGAAATTAAGGGGGGCGCTACCGGCTATCGTCTGACGGCGGCGCAGCGGTGTTCGCCCATTGGATAAATCTAGAGAGCATTTGTTACTTTCGATCCGCCGTTACTTTTGTACCCGGTCTTCCCTAAACTAAATTTTTCATGAATCCCCAGAAGAAAAAATCTAATGGATTAAGATCGGGGGATCTAGCCGGCCACACATTTCGACCATTTTTCCTATCCACCTATTCCTATAGATATTATTGAGATGTTCCACAACTACTCGACTAGCGTGTGCTGGAGCACCATCGTGCAACTACCACATATTCGTTCTTGTTTGCAATGGCAATTCTTCCAGCAAAACGGGCAAATTGTCTCTTAGAAAAGCTAAGTAGCTCTCACCGTTCAAGCGATGTGGCAAAAAAATTGTCGTATTAATTGGCCACCAATTGTTCCAGTCCACACATTAACAGCGAATTTCTCTGTGCAATTGCATGGGGACTTTCGTCCGCCCAATTATGAAAATTGTCAAAATTCCAAATTCCATTTCTTGTAAAACAAGACTCATCTGTTGCCAACACGCTCGCTACAAAATTATGATTTCTTTGGTGTTTACCCAAAATCCAATTACAAAAATTTGCTCTTCGTGGACAATCTTCAGGCGAAAGAGCTTGAACCCTCTGGACATCATATGGGTACAATAACTGTTCTTTAAGGGCCCGATGTAAGATCCAGTGTGAGACACCGACTTGACGAGCAATACTTCTCGTACTCCGTGTCGAATCCTCGTCAATTAAATTCTAAATTGGTTCTTTTGTTCTTCGGTGTCCAGAAGTCTTTGGGATACTTACGAATGTTCTCCGAGCTGGTAGCCTTCGATCACGTTCTTCGTAAATGCGCCTAGCCTCTTCAGAATTGCAATGAGCCTCTCCGTAAATAATAACCATCTCTTTCGTCCTATCAAAATACACGCACTGAATTTTTCCCGATGTAAGTATTTATTTTTTTGGCTACCGACACGATGTCGATCTTGGGCAACACGTGATGATACATGCAGAGCAGGCGGAGTACGACGTTGCCAGTTGTGTTAGGAATTTTCTTAGTCTGTATTTCTTCGGAAAATTGTATTTAATATGCAAGAAAATTATTTTGTTAGAGACAGTTGATTAATAAACATATGTATTGGTACATTTTACGCTATTAGGCATATGAATTTAAATTATTAAGGTGCAAAATTAATTTATTTCACGACTAAAAAGAAATAAGTTCAGCATTATTTTGCTCCGAAATGGTCGATTTTCGGACATAGGCCATAATGTAAGGAATCACATCTTAAAGTTACGAATATTATTTCTCTAACACCCTGTATATAGCGTATGTTTCAAATTTGATTCTCACCATTGCGAAACGGTAGGAAATACTAGGTCGATTCAATAGAGCCAAAGTTGCACAAGAAAATGCTATGGGCAACGCAATTATTTTCATTGTACAAGAACCCCCATCAAGCTTTTATAATTGAGACTCGGTCCTTATCTACAGGATACGATTTTTGAAGAAGCTCTAATAATCGGTCGGCAGAACGGCGTGATTTCGTAGTTTTTGAGAGAGCTAAAATTAGGGACACCGCTCCACTGTAATTGTATCATCAGGAAAGCTACGAGTGCTAAATATCGCCAACTTTTTTCTTTAAGCGAAAAGGAGGACAAGGTTGAGTATTTTATTGGTAAGCGACAAACACCTTGAATATAGTTGAAATCAGTCGATGTTCAGAATCACTGTCCAACACTTAAACGGCGGTAGTATTATTCGGTGTCCGAATAGCGTATATCCTGACCGATGTCACGCATCCTGTAATGTGATTTACAACTGGAAATGGTCAGGGATGGTAAACGTCCGATTCCGCAACGTAGGGATAGAAATACATCTGGGGCGATGCGACGGCGGTGGGCAATAAAGCTAAGCTTCATTGGACAAACGTCTTGTTTCTCTCAAATAAATTGGATGAAATATGGCATAAACCCCGCATTAACCACCAACTTCCGATATTAGGTTCTCAGGCACTCAGATACAGTGGTCCATTAAACCCAGCGGGGCGGTGCCAGAGGAGCCGTGATCCTCTGATTTGGTAGCAGATGAGAAAAATTGATACGTCCAGCTCCTAAAAAAGTTTTGGGGGACAGGTATACTTTCACAGAAAATTGTGGCTTGCCTAAGATTACCCACCGCCCTGAGAAAAATGACTGCAGGCGACCATGCTGTGGACCAGAAATAAGTTTAAAGTTGCTGTATAGAGTTAGTTGACGCAATACATACTAGCATTATTAAAGCATACTAGGAATGAAAAGGAACACAAGAATATCACTTAGCATTACTCTATTTTCGAGATCAATAAATATTAAATAGTTTAATCAACCATACGAATTATACCTAGTGAATCAAAACCTGCGATAATATATATGCCCTATTTATTTTTGGTTTTCTTTAAATATTTTTGCTTGACAATACCTGTGGTGTAGTCTTATAAGTTCGTTATCGACACTAACCTTGATCGCTCATTGTAGTCACGCCCGGCGGTAGAGCAGGAGCAGACATATCTGAAACTTCAAGGACAAAGCTCTGATGCAATCCACCATCTTTTCCGGGGATGCAGGATACCTCTAACCCGCCTCCCTGGGTTGAGTTCTTCACTATACAGCCTTTAGGGGTTTCGGGAATCTCTGAAAGAATTAGTTAACTCGGTATTTACATAGTGATTCGAAATCAGTTACTTATAAGACTATTAAAAAATTGTATATTGGAAGTTTGGACTCAAAACGTATTCACGTTTTTTCAACTATGCCAGACAAAGACCTGATTGCTTGCCAGAAGCATACTCATCTCGCTTTTTAGAAATAGTGGAGTACTAAAAACATACACCTGTATGTCTTCACTGCTTCCCACGACAATAGTAAGAAAGTATTGTAATCGGTATAAGCCCGAAAATGGTATATTATGTTTTCTGGACGTGTATATCACGAAAAACCATGTCACTCACTCTCGCTGGTATGTATGTCTGTCGGTATGTCAGTCAGTCTGTCCGTTGATCCTTGATCCGTCTGTAACTTGGAAGATATCGAAAATTTCACACAAGGTTACTGATATGCCAAGAACGGAAAGTTTGTAGTTTTTGAAAATCGGTCTAGTGGCGGAGGAGCTAGCGGTAAAAATGAATAAATAAATAAAATCGCTCAAACTTGATCATTTCCAGAACATTTTTATAGGGCTTAAAATTAGCGGATTCGGGTTATAGAGGGCGAGGAAGGGTATACCTCAACATTTTGCGTATACACCAGTAATTCTAAGCACGTATGAGGCATAGTTCACACATTATGTATTTAAATCAAAGAGAAATATTTTAAATACAGGCGTCGCACGCAACAGATCCAACGTTGATATACGAGGTCTGTAAACTAAGTCATGAGGCTGGCAATGTAGCGTTCGATCTGGCAACACTGGAGGCGCCGGGCTTGGAGGAGAGACACGCGAACGTGATCCGACTTCAGTACAAGTTCTAACTCGTTCGAGTCATTTCGTCATTTGTAGCGATTTTTTTATGTGAATCAGTTTTTCCTATTGTGTTCTAAAAATAAGTAACATCAATTTCCAGCAACGGTGTGATATCAGGTTTAGCTCCAAACTTGGGCACAGTGCAAAGAAAATTCTTGCTAAACAGGCCTACGAAGATAGTGTTTTGTCAACAGCCCAGGTTTTTCAGTGGTTTAAGGCATTTTCAGAGTGGAGGGGGTCGATTGAAGATTAACCACGAAGCGGAAGGCCTTCACCTTCAAAGACAGATGAAAATATCGACAGAATTCGGGATCTTGTGCGTTCAGATCGACGGTTGATAGTCATGTTCAGTTATCATTTTCTCAGAAATTATCACTGATTTTATACACATGCAGACCAATACACACAATCATCCAGATACGATCTTGCTACTCAACCAATTTTCTGTCTGTCACATCTTCTCAGAGATTTACAGATATTTACTCGACCAACTACCAACTAACACGTCATTCTGCAACCAACAGAGTATGCTGTGGAACTAACTTGCAGCGTGTCGTTGAGACATTCCTCCAAAGATGACGCTTTTGGTGACGCTCACAACGCTCATAGCTACCAAACGCGGAATGAACTATTTGTACACGAGGAACCATCTAGTCAGCAAGTTGATATTTTGTCGGTTTTTGTTGACATTGTAGTTCCCAGATTGCATTTTGTCAAATAGGTGGGACTATGGACTTGGTCCATTTATTATTATTTTTTTATACATGCTCGTGGTCAACTTTATTCTCAGCCGAACTGGTAGTGTTGTGTGGCAAGTGTAGAGTCAACCTACTTGGCACAATTTTCTTATGTGCATGCCAAACAGCTTTATAATACCATAAATCAATTGCTCATAATCGCAGTGTTCCTGTTTGATTCAGTATTTCACGAGGATACCTCGCGTTTCGAATCGGCCACGTACAGGACCAAACTTCAAAGAGATTTTTGAGATCGAAATATTTTGTAATGGAATCTGAAGCTATTTAAAAGGGAAGAAGAAAAAAATTTGGATATGCTATGTCTCACCCTATTCCGCAGGAAATTCTTAACCACGAGGTGTCTGCCTTGAACCTAAAAAATTATCCAACTCCGTTAGCAAATATTCACCGGGCTGTGTTAGAATTCATAAATCCGTGCGAATGAACAGAGATCGCAGTCATTCCAGCCGAGTATTAATCCAGTAAATTTTCTTCAACACGGGTAAGTTCTGGCGGGGAACAGCGAGCAAACTTATGCTCTAGGAGCACTTAACGTCTACATGCATTATTAGGAGCCGGTTTGCATATTTGGAGATTTGCATTTCGACAATTCAATTACACCTCCGCCGAACACGGTTTGCCGTCGCTAGTACAAGTTTATATTTGTAACGGCAGACTTAACGTTGCACGTGAATTGTAACGTTGAATTTGCTGGATCTTTAATGGATGTTCTAACTCCATGTTTGCTTGCGATGTAATTAATCGGACTGAGATGCGCGACAAGGCTTTTTAGACGTATACAGGATGGAAATATAAGTATGGAAGCAATTCAAGGAGACCCAATGTTATCAAAGGAGATACGACCTACCAAAGTGACATGCACTTCACGAAAAACCATGGCAGTCATTTCTGTCGGCCTGCCTGACCAGTAAGCTGGCTAAATATCGATTGAATCAAATAAGTAGCTAGCTAGCTCTCGCAGTTGCAATTTCTGGGGCCGCGGTTAGCTTCACGAGCTAGTGTTCTTTTTTTATGTCAAAGAGCACAGACTAACTTATTATCAAAAGCACCAGTTAATATGATGAGTAGCAATGCCAATAAAATTGCTAACGACTGTGACATGTTTGATTGCAATTATAATGGGTTAAAGAATAAGACACGTTTTCTAAGTTAAGACTTACCATTTTATATATATATATATATATATTTAAGCTAACTTTTATTTTTATAAATTGCTCTGTTATTGGCGATAAGCTGTTGGGCAATACACGCTTATTATTATTACTATTATTATATATTATTATGTTACACCAGATCCTTGAATTAAGATGCGTGTTAATCATATGCGTTAGTTTATTCTCTACGCCCAAATGACGATTTTATATATTTTTGAATTGTGAATTGTGTCGAATCTGTTTAGGATCGAGTCCGGATCGGAATGGTTTTCACCTGCGTGCACGCAGTGACAATTTGCATGGCGTAAAGGTATTTGTTACATTTTTCGACCGCTTGCTGTTACAAAATGTAACAATAACTGAGGATGTGTTCATTTTATAACCATGGGTGGAAATCAAGAAAAATTCTAAAATAAATTAAAACACCAAGCCGCATCAAAATTGAAATAAGAAATTCTAATCAAAATGAAAACAAAATATTAAACTAAATGTTCGAACAGACCTCCTTCTTGGGTTTGACAATAACCTAACATATTGTAGAGGTCTGCGCGAACATTTTCTGGTGTAACATATTGGCAACGCGGCAGGATGCGCGACCTCCGCTCTTCAGACGGCTTTTACAAAATCCGTATCTTGAAAAGTGACATTATGTCGATTTTGTTGACATTATATTGTTTTTTTTTTGTGACAATATGTAGGTTTTTCTACAAGATGTTAACTTAGCACTAGCTGATGGACACGTTGTCAGCTCGTTTTGTAGTTGAACGTGATTCCTATACGTCATGAGATAGATAGATAGATAGTAGCTTTATTGTCCAACAGTGGCTCATTAACAGGACAATATTATACAAAATCCATACAAAAGATACAGAACAAGCTGTCTAACAAAACAAAAATATCTCACGTATATACTTAACCTACGTATGTATTAGCTATCCTTACTAGTTCTTTGTTAGAAGTACAAAATATGTCATAAAAAATACAGATTCTCTTGAAATTTTTAAACATATTATTTAGCGGCGACTTCTCTGAAATATTTATTCTGTCCTTGTAGCTCTGAACGTGAAGTGAGGACGCGACGCAAAAGTCAGTACACTGATGTTGATCTTTCCAAGAAGTGAGGGACTGTCAATTAGATTATTCAAAAGCTTAAACAAAAACATCAATGTCGCGCAAGTCCTACGCTGCTCCAGAGATATAAGGTCAACACGACTGTATAACTAGGTATTGGTAACATCCCTTTCTGGGTAAATTCCATCAATTTTATAAACTAAGAACTTAGAAAATCTTCTCTGTACTTTCTTCAAACAACTCTTTTGGCACTCATAAAAGGGATTCCAAACTATGCAAGCATACTCCTGTTTAGACCTCACAAAAGCAAAATACAGTAGCTCAGTGGTTCTTATGTTATGGAAATGTCTACAGTTTCTAACAACAAATCCATGTAACTGTATAGAATGTGAAACTAATGCTTCAATATGTTTACCATGTCAACTTGTAATCAAAAATCACACCTAAATCCTTAATTTCGATACAACGCTCGAGAGATAGCCCATTCAACAGGTAAATAAAGTGTTAGGTAGTTTTCTTCCTAGAATAACTCATAATTTTACATTTGGGTACATTAAGAAATAAATCATTGGTATCACACCAGTGCTGGAGGATGCCCAATTGAGTCTGAAGGAAAGTACAATCATTCAAATCATTGATAACGGAATATATTTTCAAATCATCTGCAAAACATAAACGCTCACTCTGCAAATCTTCACATAAATCATTGATGGATAGCAAGAACAGCAGAGGACCCAAATTTGAACCTTGCGGAACACCGGATGAGGCTGAGTAAGTATCAGAACGAAAATTATTATAAGAAACAAATTGCCACCTCGAAGATAAATAAGATTTAAAAAGGTCCCTAGCATCACTAGAAAAACCAAATTTGATTAACTTTCAAAGCAATACATCATGATTTATTCGATCGACGGCCTTCGAGAAGTCCATTTAGATGACGTCAACTTGACTATCGTTGTCCAATGCCTCCGATATACTCGTATATTGCGTTATGGTAACTAGATTCGTAGCGGTTGAACGGTTTTTAATAAATCCATGTTGATGTTGTGAGAGTTGATTATGCGCCGAACTATAAATACGATTGAAAAGTATTATCTCAAAGACCTTTGGAGAACATGCACAAAATGGAGATCGGACAATAATTTTCAATGTTGGACCTGTCTCCAGTTTTTAGCACAAGGAACACTTTGGCGACTTTCCAAAGTTTCGGAAACTTCTTCGACCGAATACACAAATTAAAGAATTTTGTTAAAAAAAACACGAATGCTCAGGCACAATCCTTGATCAAAAAGGATGGAATATTATCGGGCCTGAAGTTATTTTGTCCTTAAGTTTCTTAATAGCAACCATTACTTCATTATCATAAATGTCATCAAAATGTACATGAGCAACATCGTTGAAACTATCGTCCACGTTACACAAATTGGCTGCTTGAGACTCTATGTAGACACTCTTGAAAAATACACTAAAGGCATTCACAATGTCTTGCGGATTATCAAATGATTCATTAAGGTAAATCATCTTTCCAGGGATCCTAGAAGTGTTCTTTTTTGAATTCACATATGACCAGAACCTCCTAGGATCTTGAGATAATGAATTTTGAATATCTTCAAGGTAATTGTCGTATGCACAATTAATCTGGACCTTAATCAATTTGCGTAGCCGCTGAAATTCGTATGCATCAACTCTCCGACCATACCTCCTGAATTTATTTCTGCACTTCACTTTTTGCTTAATGTTGCGGATAATTCTCGCATCAAACCAAGGGGGGTAATTATGACCATAGCTTCTATAGGTTGGTATATGTTTATCAAAAATGCTAAATATTGTCTCGTATATTTTATCAAGCACAGCATCAACATCTACGCTCTAGTCAGTTTCATACAGTTCTCTGTAAAGAGAAGGAAAATCAGCTTTTCTGAAGTTGTAAACACGTTCACTTGAAGTGAATTCGGTTTTAGCTTCTTTGGCAAATAGATCAAGTATACAGATATTCAAAGCAGGAAGATGTTTGTCTTCCGAAACCAAAGGCATAACATCATGAGTGACCTCACAAGTAAAACGTGTAATTCCTAAGTCTAATAACCTGCTTAAGTGGTTATTCACGGTATTCAGTTGCTGGCAATTGAGCAGATCCAAATAATTGCATATAACTTTTGTCTTTGCATCAAGCATGCTCTTCTCAATAAAGCGAGGAGCATTGAAGTCTCCAAAGAATATAGAATTACCGTCATTCAAGAAGTCCAACTGTTCGAGAGCATCAAAGAAAGATTCATACTCCACATCGCTTATTCCGTCAGATATATACTAAGTGACATATAAATCCGAACACTCAGTTTAAATGGTTTTATTTTAATAAAAGTTGGTGAATGTATTTATCTTACTGTAAATAACAAGTGAAAAAATTTTCAGCCTTATCAGTTGCACATTCCGGTTTTTATACTGCTTTTTTTTAATTCACTAACGCTCTAAAAATGAATATTTCAGCCGCAGTAAAGAATTAACGTTGGCGGATTTTGGTTCTTGACATCCTTTACGATCAGTTACGATGCCTAGAGTACGGAGACCTGTACGATTTCGTCAACTTAGTGAGTTTGATAGGGGCCGTATAGTGGGACTTCGGGAAGCTGGACTTTCTTTTCGGGCAATTGCTGTTAGAGTGCAAAGAAGTGTAGACACTGTGGTTAGGTGTTGTCAGGCATGGCTTCGAGAAGGCCGTACGCAAAGAGCAAGGGGCACTGGACGCCGCCGAAGAACAACAGACCGTGAAGATCGCCGCCTAAGATTATTGGCCTTCAGGGACCGTTTCTCCACTACCAGGTCCATTGCAAATGAATGGTTTGCAGAACATGGAATGAGAAGTTTTGGATTGTTTTCATACCGGCCACACTGGGTCCTCCCTTTAACTCGAGAACACCGACGTAATCGCCTTGAGTGGTGCAGACAACGGTCACTCTGGGATCAGGAATGGCACAGTATTGCCTTTAGTGACGAGTCTCGATTTTGTTTAGGCATGCACGATGGTCGTGCCAGGGTTAGAAGGCGACGTGGTGAAAGGAGGAATCCACAGTTTTTTGTCGAAAGACATGTTCATCACACTGTTGGAGTTATGGTTTGGGGTGCTATAGCTTATGGCTCCAGGTCACCTTTAATCTTCATCAGAGGTAACATGAACGCGCAGCGTTATATCCACGAAGTTCTAGAAACCCATCTTTTACCCTATCTCGACACCCTGGCAGATCCAACTTCCCAACAAGATAATGCCCGACCACATGTTTCAAGAGTCACAATAGTCTTCTTTCAACATAATGATGTCACATTGTTACCATGGCCACCAAGATCTCCCGACTTATCCCCAATTGAGCACGTGTGGGATATGATGGGTAGGAGATTGCTCAATTTGCAACTTCCTCCTCAGACTCTAGAAGCACTTCGAGAAGAGTTTTTGGTTGCCTGGAATGAGATACCACAGGAGGACATTGACCACCTGATCAGAAGCATGCCTAGGCGCGTTGGAGAATGCGTAGCACATCAGGGTGCATCCACACATTATTAAAGGTCAACGGGCTTTAAAGCAGTGCAATCATTTTGAAATTTTATCATTTACTTATTATGCTTCATTAAGTATTTATACAAAATTTTATTAAAATAAAACCATTTAAACTGGGTGTTCGGATTTATATGTCACTTAGTATATATAAGACAACAAAATGTCTTAAAGCTCACATTACACTTCACTACTAAATGATCAATAGAAGGGAACTGTAAGTCAAAATTACTCGTCTCAACGACCATAGTATCAATGAAGTCTCCGCAGCAAGAAGAACACCACCTCCAGTTTCTTTCCTGAGAATTTCAAACTTTCGAACTTTCCTATGAACTGTGCAAATATTGGCGAATTGTTCTGAGCTCAAAACACTAACACTCAACCAGGTTTCACTCAACGCGATTAGGTCAAACTCACTCTCAGAAACAGAACAGTTCACGATAGCTACCTTAATGTTAAGACCTCGTACATTCTGATAGTAACATGATATGTTATGCTGGCAGGAACTACTGGTACTGTTGGCGGTATTTATGAGGCTTTATCAATGTTTGGCTCTGATGTGATATGAAATCTGCTTCAGAGATGTCTTTACTGGAGGTAACGGCAATGCATAGGTGCATAGTGAGGATTTGTGCGCTAAATATATGTGTTGATGATAATTCTATTGGATTCTTGTGTCAAGTACACTTACTTGAGATTCAAAGCTAGAAATTAGTTGCGCATTCACTATTTCTTATCCATTCTTGAAATTACATATGCATATTTGCTGAACTTTAAAAATGAGAGATATAAGAAGTAATTATGTTCACTGTACATTGTCGAATTACAAGTCATATACATGCTAACAGTTGTTACGAGTAGGTACACACAACGCGGGTGCGGTGGTGATTTCCCGTAATTCTCCTCAGAGTTTTTGAAAACAAACCGTAACAGGCAAAAAGGTCGTAATTTATAACTTTGAACATAACCTGTCTTCAGAAAGGGCAACATATAAATAACCCGTCGGGCACAGCTAATATATATAATTCACTGGCAGCATATTCAGTAATGATTTTCTCAGACGGCAAATATCACTGATTTGTTTCAAAAGTGTGTGATCTTGTGGGATCCCTTGCGAGATTAATGAATCGTTCTGGGATTGAATGGGCTGCAGGATTGCAATCCCTAAATCCCACTAAGGTAAGCTCTGAGTCAGCTCACGGATATCCAAGGCAATTAAAAGAGATTCGGTTGATCCAGAAGATCCGATGTAATCCAGAAGTTCCGATGCCAACTAACGAAATCTGAGATAGTCCAAGGAGATCTAGTGCAATATCAGTATCTGCGCATACGCAGTTGACTCTCATCTGACACTATTACTCCCTGGGCTTGTTATGTCTACCTATATCTAGTACCTTTCTTCCGAAGAAGTCCAGGGATCCCAAGAAATGCAAAAAAGTGTAAATTTGAATGTTCGTAGCCCACAGAGCCATAGACGAATGGATTTTCCACGCAGATATCCACAGATTTAGCGACGACATCATGGACAAATGTTCAGAGTGAATGGTCATTAGAATACTGGTAGAGGAGAAGCTCTAGATTGCTTGACAGTCACAGCATCACATGCACGTGAACAGTATCTCAGTCTGTGTTTGTCTGTCAAAGCTTCTTCCTACCGGTTACTGCGATTGGTCCTCAGTGATATATCTTCCTATAAGGGTGATTCTCAAAATTTGGGACAATTTGATGTAACCATCCAAAATTACTAAAACAAGAGTACGCTCTAGTTATCTAACATGCTTAGGCAATAAAATGAAATACCTTTTGTTAGAATCACTTATTAAACTTTAAAATTTGACTTTAAAAATATTTTTAAAAACTGTCCAAAAGTACCAAAATTCCACTCCATGGACTGTAACCAACACGTTTTGCCTAAGATATTGCTTTATTTCAGAAACTCTACATAGTTTCGGGTCACAACAATCGTTTTTATCAAAAGATTAAATGTCAATAATAATAATGCTATAGCCAAAATAAAATAATTACTAAAAATAATCATTGAAAATTATGTAAAAAGCTGTGTAACCACATTTGAGTTCCACTCCATGGACCTAGGGGAATTTTGCTCCTTATGGTTGGTATTGCATCTTTAAGCGCGCAAAGGTCCGTCGGTACTCGTGCTTCAGTCTAACTTTGTCGCTCGACATGCAAGCATCGCCCAATTTTGTGCGGATTAGTGGTAGTGACAGTCGAAGTGAGCGCTGGCAGGTGCGTATTTTTATTATTTTCCACTCCATGGGGGCTTTTAAAATGATTTGAACAAGTAAAATTTAAATAAAAATATTGCGGTTAGGTGACCATTTATTGGCATTTTAATTTTATGTACAAATTAGTTTGTGTTTTTTGTTTTGCGAGTGTAAAGCTATTTTTTTCCAAAAAAAATCCACTCCCTGGACTTCCGCTCCATGGACTTTTGTATGTCCATGGAGCAGATTGGTGTCCATGGAGTAGAAAAAGTAATTGTTTTTCAACCTTAGAAGAATAGGCTTAAATTTAAATTAATTATAAGACTATGCTAATCATGTGGTTTAATAGGTTTTTTGTTTTAGCAAAAATATGGCGAAGCCAAAGGTAGACTTAGAGAAGCGAAGGCAGCAAAAAATAGATTGTGAACGCAGACGTAGAGAGAAAGTAAGAAGCAATCCAGAGCAATATGAAAAAGCAAAGCAACAGGAAAGAGAAAGATATTATGAGCGAAAAAAACAAGGCAAAATTAAGCTTATTGGGGAAGTATCCAGAAGGGAGAAAAAAAGTGGAAAGAATACAAACGGAGTTATAATACAAACAAAAAACTTGTAACCAGAGCTACGCTACATGCTAAAAGAAAACACTCCTCCGGCAACACCTACCAGAGATCTAAACGAACTTGAAAACAATCAGGATGTAGCAAATCTTTCAGGGAGATCAAGCGCTGGAAGAAAACGGTACAGGTGCTGTAGATGGTGTAGGCGGCTGTCTTAAACGAACCGCCGATCGTCTGGTCGCTTGTCAATATGATCTTCAACCAATCCTGATTATTTGCAATTACGTCGCTTGAGTTGCACTGTTTGTCCTGAATCAGTTAGATGCGTTCACTATAGTCTGGGACGTTACGAAATAAAACAGAACAGACCAAAAACAGTTGCCTACTCCGACATTTACACAGATTCCGAAAATGAAGAGGAACAAATGAAACTTAAAACTAAATCTCTAAAAGGTGGTAAAAAACAACGTAAAGAAGATAACGCAAAAAGTGGTATATGCTTAACTCTATACAGTATATCGAAAAATAATCTTGAATGGATTCAATGCTTAAATTGCCAAAAATGGATCTGTGGCATGTGCAACAAGGGCAGCAAGAACGCCACACTTGTGCAATATGCGACGATAGCGACGATGACTATGCATTAGCAACATTATTAAAATGTAAAATATTTTGTACGTTTTTTTTATGTTTCGTTTTATTCGTTCGTTATTTTTAAACTTAGTTATTACCTATTTATTCTTAAAATTTGTGTTTGTAGTTTCTTTGTTTTAAAGCAAAAAATAAGAATATATCATTTATTTTCTTTTTAAGAGAACATGTCAACATAAAATTAATGTAGCGGTTATTTATATTTTTCTAAACAATAAATAAATGTTAAAACTACATGAAATTTCTACTCCGTGGAAAACCCATTCCACTCCGTGGACACAAATTTTGATTTTTTATCAATAAAATCTAAAATTTTGACTTAGATTTTTGGCCACACACCTAAACATTATTAGAAAGCAATATCCCATGCAACTTAATTGAAAAAAGTGATAATATCGAAACCTTTGGTCGATTACACTTTCACCTCCTATATTGTCTCAAATTTTTAGAATGACCCATAAGCCAAAACGAAGGACTTCCTGGCAAAGCTCGGCCATCCATCAATGCAAGTTTTCCTCCTACTCCTACACCAAACTCCTGAGTCTCCAGATGATCACCTCCAGATCTTCCGTTCAAAAGCAAGTTTTATGTATATCTCAGCTCCAGGTCGTTAGAAACTGCCTGTAAATTACCATACTGAAGTCAAATATTGATTGTGCTGCTATGAAGCGAAAATATTGTGGCGTATCAAGGAAAATCGGATTTTCCATCAATACTCGATTTTCTGAGAATCCAAGTATAAACTTCCAATGCGTGGGTTAGTTACAAGCTTGCTAACTATATTAAGTGAATTCCTATATTGAAACCGCAGCGGCAGCCTCAGCCGCAGCGATATGCGCGATAACACTTTTTAAAATCTGCTCGCCCAGATTTCCAGTACCTCTCGAAGTAAGCAATTAACTAGTTAAGTACCTTGAATATTCATAAGCTCGGATGAGACTTCCAGATGCGAATATGGTAATGAAATTACTTCTTATTCATATTATCAAATTTTCGAGGTGTATAAACTTTACTCCATTATCAGACTATCTAATTTAGAATATAACGAATCCGGGTCGGCATGTTAGTTGTGTGTAATCTGGCGAAGAACATTCCGTGTTGAAATGAGCGGGAATTTGAATATTGTTTTGTATTGCTTGGGGAATAGCCAACAATTGTAGTTATAGTCAAGTGTATGAAGGCAATTTTGCTGCTCTAGTCAAAACGAGGAAAGAAGAAGACTGGTATCGACTTCTTATATGATAAACGACTTGGAGAGTATTATTGGCTGGACCTATGGTAATTTATTGCAGTTTAGTGTCGCTAAGCACACTGCTAACGGCCGAGGTTGTGTCCTTTTTTCTGATAGGTCAGTAGATTCAGAAGTCACAGAAATATGACGATATACAGATATCGTCGAGTACAGCAGTACAGCACGGACGTGTGTTGTTTTGCTCCTTGTTAATTCCGTTGCTTTTGATGGAAATATATCGATTTCAAGTTTCGTTTTTCCGAAACACAGTTTGCTCTTGTTGATTAATCAAAAGTGATTAGTAAAATAGGCGAAAATTGCGTCGACGGGTTTCTTCTTCTTCTTACAAACGTGCAAAAACAGTTAAGTGTTTTTAGCGCTGGTTCAGCCGCCTGATATCTAGGAAAGAACAGGTCAGGATTTATTTATTTTACAATGAGTGCCTGTATGAACTGTTCGAGCAAAGATCCGAAGATCAATTGTGACAGCTGTACTTGTGCTTTTTGTGAAAAGTGTTCTGGACTCTCACCGACCGAATTAAGATGCCTCACCCTAAGGAAATTTGTTTGCCCTGAATGTGTAAAGGTTTCTCTCAAGTTCCCGAGCTAACAACAGAAGTTAAAGATTTGAACCAAAAAGTTGAAGAGTTGCTTGCCAAAACCAATGGTTTTGCATCGAGGTCGGAGAGCATCAATCCGCCAGAATGATACTCGTCTGAACAGGTCGACCAGGAAATTCAAGAGCGTAATATAAGGAAAAATAACGTTATAATTTTTGGTTTGCCTGAACATGATGATCGTAATGAAGAAAGAGAGCTAGTCTCGGATATGCTCAAGCTGATGAATATTGACTCTACACCACCTGGTATTAAACACTTTAGGATTGGCAAAACCTGAACCACCAACAGACCTCTCAAAGTAATAATGAACGACGAATCGAACGGGAGAATGGTATTCAAGAGCCTCAAACTAATCCACACTCCCATGCAAATGAATCGATACAGAGAAATTAAGAAAGAATTTGAAGAGCGAAGACAGAACGGTGAAAGTGACATACAAATTAAATACTTTGAAGGTGTCCCTAGGATTGTGAAAATTAAATGAAATTTAAATTAGAATAAACTCATCAGTGCAGCTTATGATAAGAAAAAGGAATTATCTATGTTTTATCAAAGCATCCAGTCTGTGTATTCTACCCCCAATGTAGCAGCTAGGCCAGATGATGATATTATTGCTACAAACAATATTGTGCTGAATAGCTTCACAGAAAATGAGGTTCATATGGCATTAAAGAAAATGAAAAACAAGTTCACTAGTGGACCTGATAGTATACCTGTATTCTTAATCCGTGATTGTGCACCTATTCTTGCTGCACCTCCTTTAACTAAAATCTATAACCTAAGTATCAGATCACATACATTTCCTGAGATTTGGCGTGAAGCCAAGGTTCGACCTATCCATAAAAATGGAAGCCGTAAATTAATTGAAAACCATAGGCCTATCACTATTGTGTGTAATTTTTCGAAAACGTTTGAAATGTTATTACATAATTTCATACAATACAACGTAAGTTCTTCAATTTCTACAGCTCAACATAGATTTGTAAAAGGAAGGTGAAGCGGATGTTAAAATCTTGTGTAGCCTTTTTTATGAAAATATTTTCGGTGTTATTCAAAAATATGTAACTGAATCTAAACAATTCGTAAGATGTTACCCAAATGGTATACGAAAGATATAATCAAGGATATAAAAAAAAACCACTGTTACAAAAAGATTAAGGAATTTGTTAATTTGGAGCAATATAAAAACTTTAAACCTCTTAGATCTAAGATAAAGTTAAATGTTAGCCATGCATAC